CCCCCACCTCCTTGGAAAGGACATTTATCCACGTGAAAACAGTTACGCTACTTACGTGGAAAGTGATTTCCAGCTTTACCTCGCTTCGTTATCCAGATTACCGTGCTTAGAGTTCTACTGACAGCTTATGATAACAAAATTAAACATCTCAGTGCTGTGACTGTGAAAATTACTTCTTTGTGGTTGGCTGAGAGCAGTCAAATTTATCGTTAATTTTTAGTTTGCGCCCAGTTTAAATTAATCTGCACGCGTTCGTCATTTTCTAACTTCAGTTATATGACCGCGGAAATTAGTCCATTGTGATTGGTTGAGCAGGCTAATTTATCGTTAATTCTTAATTTGCACTCCAAATTAACGCGCGCGCTTTCGCAATTTTCCCAGTCATATTTAAGCAATAGACAACTCTTCCTATGGGTTTACTGGCGCGATAAACCACGCGGGATGTAGGGAGAACACGAGAACACGTGTTCTCCCTACATCCCAAGTGGTTTATTGCGCCGGTAGACCCATAGAAAGAGTGGTCTATCACTTTTATGAAATAACCTGGAAAAAAGTCTGTCAATGAGGAAAATGTATTGTACTTTCGTGATCAAGTTGCTTATTCTCGTCAAATTCATGCCATGACGCGACAAACCAATCACAGCGACTGACAGAATGAAAGCACACACTCCGCCGGACACGAAATTCGCAGAGCAAAGCGACGAAAACATTTCACGCTAAGAAAGGGTTAAGAAAGGAAAGGAAAAGGTTATCGGTGAAAGGCAAAAAGTATATTAATTAACTCAAAAGTATTCTGACGGGGAAATGCAGGGTTTCGTAAATGGAATTGGTCATCACGAAAGTAAAAGGCTGTACGAAAAGTGCGCAAGTAGTCCAAACTTCATGTGCTTGGCGAAGTGATTCAACGTAGTGTTTAACGACAACTTTCCAAAGTTTTGCGAATAGAATAAAGCTTAGTTATAGAAACACTGAAGGTTATGAAGTCCGTGTTTCTCTGTATTTTGCTAAATGAAAAGTATTGCTTGAAAGCTTAGCTTATAGAGACCAAATTCATTTATCGTCTTATGCGTGCATGCATTGAGTTTAAACTCAGAATTTCTGATAGAAAGAAATCTTTTCCCTGGCCATGGAAAGCGCAGAGAAAAAGGGTTTAAAACGTCCTTAATTTTAATCTCAAGTGTAACCGGAGTCGGCGTAAAATTTTTGCCGTGGAAGAAAAGATAAACTTAAAGCTTTATATGACGACCAACTTCTGGTCCTTTTTTTCCTTTCAAATTTCCATCTATATGTTGAATGAAAAGATATTCGTGTTATTGATATCTCAGCCAGCGAAAGACAAAACTGTTTATTGCATTTGTTATCGCTAGAGTTCCGAGTTCTCTAGTTCCCGCGTATAGCTGCCATAGATCAAGAACCGTGGTTTACCGGTTCAATAGAACATAGGTTTAGCAACTCTATTGACCAATCGGAGCGTGCGTATATCTCAGTTATTTTATAAATTCTATTATAACATGGCGCGCGCGCTAGTCCTACCTAATTCCTTTTGAGCCATCATGGACAAAATCTTTATGTACGCACGGCCGCGCTCAATAAAATGACGTGTGCAGTTTCATTTCACCTGCAAAATTTTCGTCGAGTTTAGTGCGAGTTCCTTTTGTTTAAGTTTCGGCAATGTGAAGATTATTCTGAACAATCCAAACGCTACTTCGAGCCCTTGACTTTTGCTGAGCTAAGACGTTTACTTAAACTTGAGTATTTTGACTTTGTTTGTCTACATTTTCATTGAGTATTTTTGACTTTATTTGCCTACATTTTCATTATAATTAAATCGAGGAAGCGAATTTTTCGTGGGCAATTTTAGAAACTAGGTTGTTACATAAACACCAGTGAATATCAGGATTTTTCCTTTTACTAAAAAATCATATCTTCATCCCGCGCAGTGAAGGTACTATTTTTATCTTTTACACTGTGAAGATATCATTCCTTTTTGATAACGTTTTTCTTTTGTCCCTTTAACTACACTTAAATTTGTTGATGTATGATCAAAACATCTTCGGATCTTCTTCGGTCGTCTTCGGCAATCTTCGGTAATCTTCGTAAATTGTTCGTAAATGTTCGGAAAATGTTCGGAAGCGTTCGTCTGGCCTTCAGAACAATTTTGGAAAATCTTCGGAAATCTTCGGAAAATCGTCAAAAACGTAGTCATTAGTATGTTTATATAATAAACAGAATATTACATGCCCGCTTGTGGATACGAGTTTTATCTTCTC